GCAGAAGCGTGTGCGTGTGTGTGTGCACGTATGTGTGTATGTGTGTGCCTGTGTATGTGTGTGTGCACGTGTGTGTATGTGTGTGCGCGTGCATGCGTGTGCACGTGTGTGTATGTATGTGCATGTGTGTGCATGTGTGCATGCCTCTGTGTGTGTGTGTGTGTGTAGGGGAAGTCACATACTTGTGATGTGAGAGCTGAAGACTGAGGAGCTAGGGTGTGGGATGTTGGGATACGGATGGGTGAAGAAAAGAAGCTCCGCCATAATCCAGCCATAGCACCATCACGTCCTCATTTAGAGAAGACGTGACTCCAGGCTACATTGCAGAAATACCGCCTCTCAAGATAGGAAGCAAGTTCTGAGAAAACAGACTTTGAGGCTTATCTGCCTAGTGTAAATTACCAAATCACTAGGGCATACTTGAACAATAGAAGGCAGATCGTGAAAGATAAAGTTAGAATCTGCGGTTAGGTTACCAGACAACACAGGCATGACCTACCCATCCCCCTGACCTTTGCTCCGGCAGGCTCATTGCAGCTGCAGCACCCCCCATTCCTTCCCCTACTCCCTTCTCCTATATAAATCCCCTTGGGATGAAATAAAGGTTGTCACCTTGATCAGATTCCTGTCTTGGTGTCCTTTCTCGTATCTCCTGTTCCCCATCTTTCTCCTAAGTGTCCCCCAGTCCCCACATTGAACACCCCACGAGTCAGGGCAATCCTAGCTGAGGGGAGAGCTTCCTCCTGCTACAGTGTGGGAGAGTACACCGTGACTTGGGCACAGGGGTGATAAGGCATAACCACGGTCAACCGTTTACCCTTTATTCAAATCTTGGAAGAAAGGTCCTGGAAACCAGGGCTCTGATCCTAATTTCTTACCTGCATTTCTGGTCTGCCCGTACAACCTGATTTAATTTAAATTCAACGTATTCTACATTTCTCATCTCTTTATTAAATATGCCAAAGTGGTTTTCTGTCCTAATTCCTCTGTCTCTAACAATGAGGGCAGCGTGGTCTCAGTCTCTTACCACTGAGAAGCGGCCTCTTCTCTTCCCACGTCTTCACCTGCTGCCCGTCACTAAGTCTTACTCACTTTTTGACTAAGTATCTGAAGGCTTTTTTGGTCCAGGCACCTTCTGCCTTCCCAAAGCCAATCCATCAGTCGTTTCCACCAGCACTATCTTGAAACTCTTAAGAGGTATAATTTGTACTCTGTTGAGATATCATTTTGGAACAAATCAGGCATTTAAAAAAATCGTATCAGATGATGAAGTACGAAAACAATTTCAGGGCTTCAGAGAAGCAATTTTTACTGGAAAAACACGATTCTTAGACTTGCGTTTATTCTCAGACCCTCCCATCTATGGGCATGGTGAGGTTTGCTAAGCTTTCCTTAAGGTCATAAGGCTTTATCGCTGCATGGAGAACTGTCAAGACGTGGTTTTCCATTGTCTAACCCTCCTTTTAGAAATAAACTCCTCCCTGAACCCATTGCCTGCAAGTGCATCCTACCTTAAACCTGTCCTTGATTACGGGAGTAGCTTACTTCATGTTAGCGCAAGCCCTGAACACTGGATGTGGAAAATTCCAAAACAAGATTGTATTCAATGTCTGGGAATAAGTGCTAATTCTACCCCCAGTCGCATTTTGTCATAATTCACTGACTGGAAATTCTACTTCAGTCGGTAAGTATTTATCGAGACCCAATACACTTGCGTCCAGCCTGAAACTTCTTGGTAGAAGCACCATGGCTGTTCTCATGAGCTAAAGCATCAGGGCACACATCGTGAGGATGGGACAGAACACTCTGAAATCAGTACTGAAAGGGAAAAACATCTGGATGCACATTAGTTTGCAAGAAATGCGAGAGGAATATTGTCTCCTGAGCTCCCAGCTTTATTGGGAAAACGATGCTGGTGTGGTGTCCGTCAGCTTCATAGCCAAGACAAGAGTAAGGGAATGTCTGGTGGGACAGGGGCTCTGTTAGCTGCGAGGACCCGTAGAGATTGACGACAGCAGCAAACACCTTCACCGCTTCTTGGTGGGCTTCTCTTTTTTTTAAATTTTTATTTAAATTAGAAACATGAATGCTTCACCTGTCAATCCCAGCTCCCTCTCCCACCCCTCCTCCCTAGTCCCTCCATCAGCCCCCCCAGCCCCCCACCCAATCCCCACATCATTCCCCACGGAGGGTGAGGCCCTCCTTGTGGGGGGGTCTCCAAAGTCTGTCATTTCATCCAGGGAAGGACCTAGGCCCTTCCCCATGTGTCCAGGCTGAGAGAGCATCCCTCTATTTGGAATGGGCTCCCACAGATCATTCATAAACCATGGTGAACACTGATCTACTATCCAAGGCCCCAGTGATTTCTGTGGCTTCCTCCCTGGCACTACATTCATGGAGTCTGGATCAGTCCCCTGTTGGCCTCTCATGGATCAGTCTGGGATTCAAGAGCTCCCCCTTATCTGGTCAGCTGTCTTTGTGGGTTTCACCATCATGGTCTTGACCCCTTTGCTCATCACTCCTCCTTCTCTGTCACTAGTTTCCAGGAGGGCAGTTCAGTGTTTAGCTGTGGGTATCTGTCTCTGCTTCCATCAGTCACTGGATGAAGGTTCTAGGATGGCATGTAAGGAAGTCATCAACCTTACTCGATGGGCTTCTTGTGATGCTGGTTTGTTTTTCACCTTGCCTGGTCGTTGGCACTCAGTTGTCTACGTGATGCTGCCAATTGCTTGTAAGACGAGTTTTATACTGAAACCAGCGGAATGTGAGTAAAGCCAGTTGCCCTTCGTGGTGTAGGTATATATAGCCTTCAGGGCATTCTTCCTTGAGAGTCAAGATCACAACATCAGCTTTGGTCAGAATGGCTACGCTCCCATTCCTGTCCCACATAGTTTATACTTAAGAGACCCTGAAACCATGCAATCCAATTCCTTAAACTAATCTGTGGTGTTCTGAATGAGAAATGGGCCGCAGGCTGGGGTTTTTTAGGCATTTGGTTCCCAGTAGGTGGCGGTATTGGGGGTAGGCTTGAGAGGTACAGGCTCGCAGGAGGAAGTACGCCGCCAAGGTGGGTTTTGAGGGTTTTACAGCCTTGCCCACGTCCAGTTTGTACTCTGCTTCCTGTTTATGGTTGCAGATATGAGCTCCCAGTTTCCTGCTTCTTCTGTTATGCTTGCTTCCCTGTCGTCTTAGACTTTCTCTCCTGAGCCATAAGCCAAAATAAACCCCCTCTTCTGTGAGTAGCTTTTGGCCGTGGTGTTTTATTACAGGAGCAGAAAAGTGAGCAAGACATCACCTACATACACATGCACACCATGCTCGTCTAACACATGTGTGTGCACACCACGCTCACCCAACCACGCTCGCTCACCCAATACACATGCGGACACCGAGCTCATCTAACACACAAGTGCATACCATGTTCATCTAACACATACATGCACACCCATGCTCACCCACTCCTGACTTGGCTCGGCTTCAAAGGAACGCCCCCCAAACACAGTTCTTTAAAAACTGTTGTTTTCCGTTTCAGAAATAATCTACGCATTTAAAAGCATAATAGTACAATGTTTCCCTCCCTCCCCATAAAGGCTAACAGCCCACTTAACAGTATACCCTCTAGCAGCGTTTCAAGATAGGGTATGCATTTTTTTAAGTCCCCTGCCACAGAAGAAGGATCGAGTGTACTCCTCAGATGAAAAGGAAGTGAACTTCATGTGGAATGAGAAATACAGCAAGTGGTTGGGGGAACCTGAGGACTCGGGAGAAGAGGATATCAGGGAAGGAAGGCAGGGGGGAGAGAGCAGCTTGGACCCGCCCGCCCGTTACCAAGTTTGGGAGGAAGAAACCAGACAATGGACTCCGCCTGTAAGTATCAGTACACTGGAGAGACACTTTAGGGAGAAAAGAGGAGTCAAAGCAATGGGGACTGAAATGACTTGGAGGTCAAAAGAAAACAAAAGGCAGAGACAGGCTAACGCAGTACTGCGTTAAATTTGGGAGCTTTCAGTTCCTACGAACTGTCTGTTGGAAAACGGTACAGGTGGGTTGCGTCCACCAGGAGACAGGATGTGGGCAGTTTTGCAGCGAGGGTTCTAGAGTGAGTAACAGAGTTGACTTCCATGTATTCTCTAAAAGCTTAGCAGGCCCCTGCTCTGAACCGGCAATAGAAAAAGCACTTGGAAGGGGGGAAATACTCTGAATAATTAGACATAATTATGTTGTCAGCTCATGTATCATATGCTTTGCCTCTTAGGGATGTTTTGCAGATTAACCAGTTAATGTTTGTAAAATAAGCTTCAAGTGCCATGTGTCATTGGCACGAATTTGATTATCGGCGTGATGAATGTAATTAAGTCATACGAACTTTTCACTGCAGGGTGATATCTGCTCTGGAGGGTTCTGGGAATGGGCATCGAGGTTCTTGAACTGGCGTTTCATTGAGAAAAACTTTTGTGGGTAGGTGTTCTGCATTGTCTCTGACATTCGCCTAAGAACACAGGAGTCAGCTAAAGTGTCAGGTTTGAATTATGGCTTCCATGGATGACTAAAGGTTGCATTTTTTCACCTAACATCCAGCTGACAGTAGAGTGAACTCATGACCGACTGGAGAGTGAACCAAGTCTTTCTTCTGAACACGAATTCACCCTTGTCCACCAAATAAGTTATTCATTTTCTTCAGTTACAAGATTCACTTCTAAAACTCAGAATGGCTTCATATATCCTCAAGAAATACTTGTTAGCAAGCTTTTCTTAAATAGACAATTGATTGTTGATCTAGAGGTTCAAACTTTTGGGGACATTTGAGAGAGGAATTGGATTAGCTCTAGGAAAGTGGTTTCCAAACATTTGAGTCACAGGACTTCTCCATACTCTCAAAAATGATTGAAGAACTGAGAGTGTCTGCATGCCTGTCGGTTGTGTAGGCTGACGCTTTTTGCATTACAACTGAAGTTAAGGAAAAAAATGTGAATTTAATTTCCTCATTAAAAGTCATAAGATTTTTGCATAGCAAAATGAATAAGATACTTTTAATGAAAATATCAGGGAGAAGTGTGACATTGTTTTACATTTTTATAAGTTTCTTTAATGTCGCATTAATGGAAAGCAGCTGTGGTCCCAGGCTGGGTTCTGCATCCAATCTCATATGAGACATTGTTTCGGTTGAAGTAGTTGAAGAAAATTTGGCCTCACACAGATCTGTAACTGGAACAGAGGGGAGTATTTTAACAGCATTTTAAAGATGATTTTGGTTATTCATTTTAGATTTAACACAAAAACCTCCAAAAGTAGCAATTTCTTGAAGTTTCCGAACTTTTTGTCATCCTGTACACTTAAAGCCATTGGTCTATCTTGTACTGATGCCTAGCATGGAGCATTTGGAAACTATTGATTCCTTAAGTTATGCATAACTTCCAAGGGCTGACACATTTCAGGATCAAGTAATCACTTTCATTAATATCATCACTGATTTCATCATAAAATTTTTTAGGTATTGGTGTGCTGTCAAGTTTCCCAGATTCTCATTTTCATTTGAGAAGCTGGGATTTTATTATTGGCAATAAATACTTTGGATTGTTTTCCATGAAGTGATAGTTTCATTTTGTTCACTTTAGGGAGAGTTGCTGCCAAATGCCCATGTCTGGTTAACCATTGTTTGTTTTCACGTGAAAAAAGGGGGCTCCATCAGAAGCAAGTGGTTATGCTCACAGCATGCTTTTCCTGGAGTCAAAATTGTTAATTAGTGTAGATCAAGGCCATCATGAGAATTTCTCATTTTCTCACCCAGATGAACAGTTAATAAAATCAATACATGTTTATTGCTTAATCATTGTCATTACTGACTGAATTGACACACAGTAAAATTAGTGGGTGCAATAATGGTGAACACACAGTGACTGCCAGTGACATGTACTTTGACTATAGTATGTACACAGTGACTTCCAGTGACATACACATTGACCATAATGAGCACACAGTTGGTGCTAGTGACATACACTGACCACAATGAGGTAAATAGTGGCTGTCAGTGACATATACATGGACCCTAGCAAGTGTAGACACACTGAAACCCCCTCATTTCAACTGGTGCTCTAGTTTTTTCACATTACCCAAGAGTTTTGTTCATTTTTTCCCCATTTTCTCCACCAATGCGAATGGCAGAACGGTCCAAAGGCATGTGATTTCCCAGTCTGAGCAAGGGAAGAGTGTTGAGCTTGTAGGGTCCTTTAAGAGGGTCTTGGGATGCTTAGGGTCCAGGAATAACACTTGGAGAATAGTTAGCCTCAGTAACATCCCAAATGTGGAACAGAAGATAGTCATTGGCTGTTGTTATGACATTCCTTTAGCCATGCACAGGGCAGCAGGATACAGGGCCATGGAACGTTCTTATTTTTCTTTTTGAACATAATGAGGAAATATTGTATTGCCTTAGATAGGTTTTTCTCTTGCTTCAACACGCAGTAACTAAAATGGGCACTGTGCTTGAATGCGCATGTGCGCACAGACGCAACGGGCACTGTACTTGAATGCGCATGTGCATGCAGCTGCGTTGCCCCCAGTTGAATTTTCAGACATGGTACCTTTCTCATCTGCGTTGCATGCTACTAGGTGCAACACTCACCTTGCGTGAAAACTCTTTTTCTGTTACATTAAAAAAAAAATGTTGGTTGTGACCCGCTGGGTTGACTTCCCATCTCACCAATAGCTTGGAAACCACAGTTGGAAAAAATAAAATAAAATAAAAACCTCTGCTCAAAATCAAGGTACTTTCATCTGTCATTTTCTTTCTGATTTACTTTCTGACCTGAAAGTAAAGATACTCACAATCTTTTAATGGCTTGCTTTTCCATGTCGACGCAGATGCCAATAATTTTAATTTAGCTTAATTTTGTTTTTCTTGATGCCAATAATTTTTAGCTTAATTTTATTTTCATGTTTGTACAAATAAAGTTTGCCTGAAGATCTGAGGGTGGAGCTAACCACTAGCTAACCATAGAGGTCTGGAGGTCTGTATAGACAGACAGGAAGTGGTGTGGCTGAGTGGAGAGAGAAATATTGGCAGGAGGAGACAGGAACTCGGTCTCTTTTCAATCTGAGGATTTCGTAGAGGTAAGACCTCTAGCAGACTGGCTGCTCTCCTTCTCTGATCTTTCAGTTTTCGCTCCCTAATGTCTGACTCTGGGTTTTTACTATTAAGACCAACTAGAACTTGTGTTATAGATGTGTGTGTTCTTGTACACGTTTGTGTGTGTGCAGTGTGTGGACGTGAGTTGGAGGGCAGAGTTTGACATCATGTATCTTCCTTGATGGCTCTCTGTGTTTGTTTGCAGACAGGGTCTCTCACAGAACCTGTAGGTTGCTGATGGCGTTAGATGCTCCAGGGATCCTCCTGCCTCTGTTTTCCCAGAACCGGGAGTATAAACTGACACACACCACCAAGCTCAACTTTTACACGGGTGCTGGGAAATCACACTGGGGTCCTCATACTTGAGCAGTAAGCGCCACCCAAGCTGTCCTTAGTCTACCAGTCACTTCGAAGCATTGCAGAATAATAAAGTTGCTGTTGATTTTTCTTAAACCAGGATGCAATATGTGTGTTCTTATGTGAAATATCCCTTTGGCTTTACTTCCTCTGGGAAAGTAAAACTGTTTACCTAGCATTCATAAAATCTGATGTCTTTTCTGATAAATACGAACAGTTAAATCTCATCAGGAGGCTATTTTGAGACTGATAATAATCATTGTTCCCATTTTTTAAAAAAAGCTTTAACTGGATCTAGACTTCTAATCAGCACTGCTTCAACTTCCTGCTCTGCCAATCTGAGAACCATTACCCTGACAGTAAACATTAAAATAAAATGGCCACCACTTGGAATTTTAGCGCTTAAGGAATTTTATTGCTGAGGACAAGACAGATAGTGAGAAAGCAGAATAAATTAGAGCTAAATATTTTCTTTCCTCTTTTCAATATCTGGCCTCTATCTGCTTCCCTTCCTTAGCTTTTCAGGCTCCAGCCTCTCTCTCTCCTCTCTCTCTCTCTCTCTCTCTCTCTCTCTCTCTCTCTCTCTCTCTCTCTCTCTCTCTCTCTCTCTCTCTCTCTCTCTCTCTCTCTCTCTCTCTCTCTCTCTCTCTCTCTCTCTCTCTCTCTCTCTCTCTCTCTCTCTCTCTCTCTCTCTCTCTCTCTCTCTCTCTCTCTCTCTCTCTCTCTCACCACCTTGCTATGCCTCTATTTCCTTGAGCACCGGTACCATCTGCTTACAGCTCAGTCTTTGTCTAGCATCCTTTGCTTTATTATCTTTTGATTCCCTGGCTCTGGATGTGAGGGGGGGGGAGGATACCTAGGAAGGATTGGTGGAGGAGGTGGCTTGGGGAAAGACTCAGTTATCCATAGCAGTTGCTCAGACCAGGTCTGAATTAGGGTGATGCATTGGAAATGGAGAAATGGGGACGAATCCGAGAGTCTTGGCTAGTCACTGGGACGGGTCTATGTGAGGGGGAAACAAAGATGGTGTTGAGAATCCGGCTGCCGCGGGCTTGGGTAAGGAGGGAAGAGGCAGAGAAGCAGGAAAAGCGATGATTGACAGGTGCGGATGGGTGGAACCTGGATTAGAGCCTTGGATGAGGCTCTGTATTGAAATTGTCGTTGAGCTCACAGGTATAAATGGAATCATGGGTGGGGTAAACATAAAATGATAAGATGAGTTACTGTGGGGAACTTGGAAGCTGGAAAAAAAAACTTCAAGAAGAAGAGGAGTTGACAAAAATAGAGAAGTCCCTGTTGTGCCCAAGTTGCAAAGATCCCCTGAGACCACCAGGAAGACAGACCCACCAACTGTAAAAGCAAGGTTTTAATTGTATCGATTGTTCATCCGACCGTGACAGGGACCCCGTCTGGCTAGCTGATGCAGCAGCCTCCAGAGGGAGTGAAGTTCCCTGTCTACTGCTAGGTTTTATAGACAAAAGTTACAGGAATAGATCAGTAGGTACGGGTTGGTTTCTGATTGGTTGACATTTGGGAACAATTAGGGAGAATTTCTCAAAGTCATATTTTGGCATGAAATATCTGTGTACCAATTATTCTCATTGGTCAGTGCTGAGAGGGAACATTCTGTGGTTTCTATGGCTTTGTCTTGTTACTTGCAGGTGGCCTGTTGGCTTTCAGAACTGTGTCCTGGAGACTACAGGGGAGGTTTTGGTCCCCCCCTGGAGTTACTTTTGTGGCCAAACAGTTCCCAGGAATCAAGTATCTAGGAACCTTGGAGAGGGGTGGTCTGGAGTTTCTTTACTTTCAATTTTGACCCTAGGCTCCGGGAGGCCACAGGATCTGGAGTTTCCTTGTGTCAGAGGTCTATGTGTCTTTTCTGTAGCCTGTCATGGCTGGTAAAGCAGGTGGCTAAGTGGGGGTCTGGTCCCTTTATTTCTAAATTATTAGGAGTGACGCCCTTGAGTTTAGTTTACCCCTTTCAGTCCCTGGGGCTGCAGAACCTGGGAGGAAATCAACATGGAGTCAAAGGACTCTTAACAGCTGGCAAAATACTGTAACAGCCGCCCAGGAGACACCTGAGACAAGACTTTGTGGCTGTCAGACAAACTTCATTTCTTCCTAACTCCTTATTACTAGTTGTGTAAATATGGACAAGCTGCAAAGCAGATCTGAACCGAGGAGGCTAATTGCACCCCTCTGTTAGAAATGTGTGGTCAGAAAAAGTACGATTAGATTGAGGAGATTTAAGAACAGCATTTAGCTGGTAGAGGGTGAGGTGGGTATCAGGGGATGACCAGGATGTAGGCGGCTATGACCACAGAGGGAGGCGGTATACCGCAATGGTGATTCCTCATTGGAAGACGGCATTTCCCTGAGATAGAACCTTGGCGATTCCCTTTTCCTTCTTTCAGAACTGAGGGGAATCCGGTTTATTTTCTGCGTTATTATTCTGTGCTCGATGGAAATGAAACAAAAGGAGGGGGAAAAAAGGGATGTGTTTATGTGAAAAACCTTCCTTTGAGATAAACCCGCTTTCACACTTTGTTGGTTTTCCTTTTTAGACATGGGCTCTGAATGGTCTCTCGAGCTTAGTAACACCTTCCTTAGAAAGTTAAGCAGCTACCGCCAGAGCCTTCACTTCATGAGTAACAGAGACAAATAAGCCATTCACTGTTCAACTTAGGAAGCCAAAGTGACACCCTGGAGGAGGACCACGGAG